TTAAAAAACTACGTTTGAAAATTACTTGTATTGCTATTATCATCTCATTCGGCAAACAGTACCCGTTCTCTGTATTTTATCAAACAATAAATTTGATAAATTCTGCTATTCTTTTTCTGAGATGGCTTGAACTGTAGTGTTTATAGATTGAATGGTCAAATACAGCTCGCAACATCGCTAGAAAGTCATTATCGGAAAATTTATCTAATGGGAGTTTTTCTTCAACAACAGCAACAGCAATGTTTTTTATTAACTACTGTAGGCAGCCCCAAACAGACAATCTGCTTTTCAATACTTCAATGGATGCTTATCATTTGCCTTCTTCTGACTCTTTCAGATGGATCATCGCATATAATAATTATATAAATATAATATATGTATAAATAAAAGTAATTTAAAGTCCAGTTATTGATATCCTTTATAAGGAAACTTTTTACTGCTCTAGTTTAATCTTATCGTGACACAAATAAATTCATTCGACTTGTTACACAAGCAGCATCTCAAGTTCTAGTCCTGTCAGTCATAAACATTCAACTCTCCAATTGTTGTCTACTGTCATTTATGTCAAATGTCATACACCAGCTGTCACAGAAAAAGAGTGAGAGCTGAACAGCACAAAAAAGATAACATACTAAAAATATATGCGAGTAGGAGTACATATGGTGGCTTATATATATATATGCATCTAAACTTAGGTAAATATATTAATATACATTAATAAAAAAAGATATACTCTTGAAATCATTTTTATTTGATTGGTATTGTATTAAATGACAACATAGAAAAGCTCAAGCTCAAGTTCAACCTCACACAAACGAGCAGACAGACGGACGAGCAGCCGTTCTGACAGATTCTGTTGAACATACATACTTTTTTGTCTAAATTGAAGTGTGAATCTGATATCTAAGTAAGTAGAGATTCTCACACGTATATATATGCAGGTATTTATTTTTATTTTAATATATTTTTATTTATTATTATGATTTTCATTATAAACAAACATACAACAATTCATCATCTCACTAGGAGTGTATCTGTGCGCTGTTGTCGTCATCATCAATATCAGCAGCATCAGCCATACCGACAATGGCAGCAAGAACAGCAGCAGCAGCAGCAGCAAGAGCAGGAGCAGCGGCAGTGACAACGCAACAACACTACAACACAGCACATTCGAATGAGCAACATGTTGAAATGCCTGAGTTGGGGGCATGTCAGAGACGCTGCCACATACCAGACATAATGGGGACATTCACTTCACTTCAGCACCGACATATTAATATTGCAGGATATACTTGTGCAAGAACTTTTGCTAATAATTTGATACGCAATGTAGTATACTTACACACACTCGAAGGTGGCAGGCATTATGAGAAGGAAATCTGTACTCCGTAAAACGGTGCAAAGTTAACGGGGCTTGCTTGCGTGCTTTCGGAAACTGTCATTTTTACAAAATCTTCATTAATGTTGTTGCGTTATTGTAGTGGTGACTATTGTTGTAAATAACGCTGATAAGATTCCTATTGCGGATTTATATTTCAAAAATTTTCTTAATTTTTATTTTTAATATCATACCTCGTACTTATTTGAGTTTTAGTGAAAGTGACCAGTCTCCAGTTTCAGCTCTTGAGTTTACTATGCTTTTTTGGAGGAATTACAGGATAAACTGAGGGAACGTATTGATAAGAATTCTGTACCAATCAACAGCGTATAAAAGGCATCCATTGCATTGACTTTTGATGTGAGAATTTGTTAAGAGTACTTCAATGATAGCCAAGCTCTGGCATCTTTAAAGCAGAAGACGGACTTTGCAATTCGTTGCGGTAATAAATTAAGACTATGCTTTAATGTTAAATATTGTATCATTAGGGTGGCTCAGAAAAACTAAAATGCGATTTTTAATGAGCGCACCCCTTAGGAATATGCCATTGACCAAAAAAATGATATTCCCAAAGTTTTGGATCAATAGAATTAAAAATGACGTTGCGCCACTCGAGCAAAGTTGGGTTTTCAGTACAAAAAACAGAAATTTTTCAATTCAAGGTCATTTTTTATCTTTGCTACTTATTTCAATAGTTAATAATATGTATTCATTTGATAGATAATTTAAATATCTTTTTAATAAGATACTGATGAGCAAAATCAGTTAAAAATTATGCTCAAAACACAATAATTAGTTGAGCGACTATGCTCTGGTTCTATTTCATACCTTTTAGCTGGCATGCACAATTACGTAATAGGCATATGCTACGATTTAGTTAATTATTTATAAAAAATTATAATTTCAAGAAAACCCATTTTTTCAGTAATTAATATATTGTGTTTATTATGTTTTATAACATAAATTTGACTATGTGAAGGATAATTTTTATGATAATGTTCGACTACTTGCAGAACATATTGTTTTTCTTCTTCATATTTTGTCAAAATCGAATTATAATCCATCATAAGCCTAATTCCTCTTTCTATACAATCATTTATCATATGAAGTCTGGCACAGAATTCAAGTGCATCTCGTCTTCATCCATGGCGAAGGATCGAAACTGATAAAACTATTAGATAGGCAAAAACGATTAAAAAAATTTGTTATCTCTTCGGTCACGAAATCAATAAGGTTCTTTGAGGAAAATAACTTCATTAGTGGGTTCCCACTCTTTATCTAACCAGAGATAGCTGAGAGCTTGGATCTGTGACCGGTAACTTTACATTTACTATCTACGCAGATGGCTCTAAGATGGAAGGCAGTACGGGAGCAGGTATCTTCTCGAAAGATATGCAGATAAGACAGTGCTACCGAATCCCTGCTACTTACAGCGTCTTTCACGGCGACATATATGTTATCGAAAAAGAGGTCAACATTAGACAACAAAGTACAATTCGTCCTTCGAATTTCACGATTTTTGCAGATAGGCCGCACTGAAAGCAATTGAATCTAAATTCCAAGATAGTATTAAAATGTCGCGATGCACTGATGAGCATCAAACATCATAAGGTCTCTCTTTGTTGGGCATAGTACATATCGAATATGGCCAGAAGAGGTTCTGAACTGCATACAGTAGAGGCCGACCTCTCAATAAATACACCGATATGTAAGCTGTTTAGGATAATAGAGGAAATCAATACAGTGACTAACAATTTATAAAGTAACTGCGAAGACTGTAAGGTCGCTACAATTTTATGGCCTTAGTTGGACAAAAATAAAACGAAAAGGCTTTTAGGCTTCAGCAAACCTGCACTTCGTGTGCTTTCTGAAGTACTAAAGGGGCACTGTGCCATTGTCAAGATGAAGAGGACGTAAAATCTATCAACCGCTTCCTGTGTCTCTGTCCAGGACTTCAAACAAGGCTACTTTAATGTCTTGAGGATCCTTATTTTGCTGGCATGGAAGAGATAACGAAAGCGGATCGGATCTCCTCAACTTCATCTTGAAAACCAAATGGTTTAACAAGGATAACAAAAGTTAGCAACTCCCATCTCCTGGTAAAATTTATTGAGGACATCCCAATGGGCAATATATGTCTCCGAGTAGAAGTGCTGACAATTGTCAGCACGTGCCTTCCGAACATAACCTAATCTAGTGTGGGTTAAAATTTTCGCACATA